AGATATTGGCACAGGTCTTAGAAACCTTTGCTAATATTTATAATTCATTCTCTTTACTTAAGTTTAATTGTCCCTCTTCCAACATCATATGCTTATAGTGATTCTTAGTGAAACCCACTATCCAGAATTGCTATAACAGTACAAAGTAGAAAAAGTATAAAAATATTCAAAGTATAAGAGTACAAAGTAAAAAAAATATAAAAGTATAAAAATTATAAGAGTACAAAGTAGAAAAAGTATAAGAGTATGAAGTAAAAAAAGTAAAAAAAAATATAAAAAGTATAGGAGTACAAGATAGAAAAAATAAAAGTATATAAATATTATAATTAATAATATATAAGAAAATTATGAAATGTTCTAAGTTTTTTATATAAGTTTCATAATTTCATGAAATATTATAAATTATAAAATTATAACATAATTGTAATAATACTCAAAATTATCTATACTTTTATTATTATTATTGGAATTGAATTTTGATATTTATTTATATAATAATAGAAATAATATATTTTTGTATTAATATAATTATCACTACCTTTTATATTATATTTATATTTTTTTTTTATAATTTTTATTGTATAAAGAGCAGAATTTTGATCTATTAAAATCAAAATAATTATTTTAAACTATATTTCAGAGTTAAATAAAGAAATCACTCTAATATCATATTAATAATGTGTTATTATCTTTCTTTAGGATTGTTTGGTAAAACAAAAATTAAAAATTGTTATTTAAATGATATAGATTAAATATTTATTTGCAATACAAATAAAGACTTTTCCTTAAAAGAATCAAAGTTTTAATTAAATATCTGTGTAAATTAAATATGAATTTTTTCTCATTCTTTTATAAGATTATTAAGCCATTCAGTACTTAAATCACTTTTTAATATATCATAATATAATAACTCTTCATCAACCAATCTCTTCCAATTTGTTAAAAATTCATAATATTTTCTAGGATTTCTTTTCTTTCTATTTCATCATGATAGAAATATATATCTCTTTTCAAATCTTTACAAAAACATCCCATGATTCATCTATTTTTTTCAGCCTTTATAATAATTAAAAATTTATTTCATGTTTGATAGCATATTGATAAAAATGATTTTTGTTTGGATCAATCTTAAAAATTGAGGAAATGTAAATTTTGTTTGACACTACTATTTGAGTTTTTGGTAAACTTTCCTATAAAATATAATTATTATTATCTTTTTTGATTCGTGAAAATTCAGGCTTTATTCAGAAATCAAGCTCTATCTTTTCTATATATACTTTATATAAGATCAAATGAATTTTATTAGTCAAAGAACTTGATACTTCAATCAATTTAATATACCAGTTCAAATATTCAAGAGTTAAGACACAAAGTGTTATTTTTCTAAAATAAGCTTTATTTATATTATTATTTTATATAATTACAAATTTAAATTAAGTATCTTTATCTTACTTAAATATTATGCATATCCTAAAAAAATAAATATTGTTAATTAATAATTACCAAAGGTAGTCACATAGTGGATAACTTTATAATTTATATTATTATTTAGATTTTATGCTTTTCATATATAATAAAATAGGATCTAACTTCGTATTTATCTTTTATACTTTTCTCATCTTCATGATCTAGTTTATATATTGAACATAATGAACTCTCAATAATTTTATAATGATCAAATTTTACTTTATATAAATTAGAATATTGTAACAATATCTTATTACGAAAGTAAAATGATTATGAATCTTATTTTCTGATAATATATTATTTTTCAGAGAAAGTGCACTTCATGCATTAGATGAAGCACTCACTTTTGTATTAGTTTGATCTTTCTCTGAGAGAATAGTTTTTAAAGTCACTTAATTTATAATATTTTGAATCTGAACATTAGTCAGTTTTGAAATTTCATTCTTAATTTTATTTATTTCAACTTCATTTTTTCCAAATAATATAAAAAGTTTTCTAGCTCTAAGAGTTTTTTGCACAAGTTATCTTTAATATTAGAAAGAAAAGATTTAAAATTCAAGAGAATAATAATACCAGTTTAAGATTTTCTGTTGTCTTGATTTGATTGCTGTTTTAAATAAATAAGACAAATGTTGAGCAGAATTTCTAAAGGAAACAATCATTGATTCTTTCAAAGACATATTCTCTAATTTGTCACCGGAATCACTAATTTTGATAAAGCTGTCAGTTTCTTTAGTAGGTAAATGTAATTCTTCTATTAAACCTTGTTCAATGATTTGGTTTTTATCAATTTCATCATTCTGCTCTAATTCAGACACTTCAGTTTGCAATGAAGATGACTCAGTTAAAATCACATGACTTTGATCGTTCTCCGAGGGAACAATTTTTGTATTATGATTAACTTGGGGTCCTGGCTCCATATCTCTGGATGTAATTTCATGAAATTGTGATAAGTCTTGGGCTTGGTTTCCAGCTGATTGGTGCTGAAACTTTTTTTCTCTGATTCTATCTCTTATCTCATTATTAACCTGTTCCTTATACATTGAATTCACGAATTCATCGATCACCCTGTCTTCTAATAATACGGGCTCAGTTTTTAGCTGATTTACACTGACGCTATATTCCTTATCAGAGTGGTCCTCGATAGGTGGCGGGGAAGATAATTGGGATGTTGCTGGCAATGGTGAACAAACTGGAGACTGCGAGATATCAGTAATAGTTTGATTCTGTTTCTCAATTTTATCAACAGTTTGTTCCAATTTCATGATTTTGGCCTTAAACTCAGCATTGTCTTCTATAATCTGTTTTAGTTTTGAATTTTCATGCTTAAGCTCAGCATTCTCGGCCACAAGCTTAGCATTCTCTTGTCTGAGTAAATCTAGTTCGGAAGACATGCTTGATATTATGTGTTTTATATATTGCGGATTTATTTAAATTTGTGACTAAAAATATCGCGTCGATTTATCCGGTAAAGGAACCAACCAACATATTTTGCTACAACGCTGACGGTCTAAGAAATTTGGAATTATGTAGGTATGATTAAATCATCGATATTATCTGCTTTTCTTATAAAAAGAGCAATAATTTACGAGAATTATTAATCAAGATCAACCTTTGCTTCTGTAATGAAATCGAGAAGCCAAAAATAACGTTGCACGAAAATAATTATTTTTAACGCAAAATGAAAAATAGCAATTCTTTATTATATTAAATTGAACTGATAAAATACGCTATCAACTGCTCCCCAGCACGACTAAATAACCACATCACATTATTACGACAGCTGTTCGTCTTCCTCTCCCTCTTTGCCTTCCTCTTCCTCCTCTCCTTCCTCTTCCTCTTCTTCCTTGAAAAGTGATTCGCGAATTTTGATTAATGCTGTGAATACTGCTCTCCTTCCGTCCGGGTCAGCGAGATCGAAACCAGCCTTTGGATTATTCCCTTCCCCCGGCCATCTTAAAATCGTAACTGACTGCTTTCGTGGTAAGCCCTTGAAAAGTTCATTCCAATATTCTACAGGAATCTTAGCTTTGTAAAATGTAACATACGAGGAAACGACACGAACAGCGAACATAGTCTGATCCGTAATGGCACCAGCTAGACGCAGATTTTCATATCCGCACGCGAGCATCTCGGCAAGAATTTGCGCTTCCCCGAAATCAGATAGTGCAACATTTTTCAAATGCTTATCCTGTTAAGAAAAATGTTTGAGTCATCAAAAAATACAGTCTCATTAAACAATCAAAACACACAGACTTCTACGACTATCATAGCAACATGATCCTTATCCACTACAAATTCAGGCCTTGCCGACACCTTCTTATCACTAACGGATAGCTTGTAGCATTCTTTGACTCTAGGTTTAGATATAATACAAACTTAAGAAATTATTAGAATACATAAAATACAAAGACATTTTTTATTATTACTCACCTAACTGATAATGGCCAAAGATTGAAGTTAACAACGCCAGTTAACAGTTGGGTTACTAATGAGTCAGTTTTAGATTCCTCCGTGCCTATATCGAGATTTGCATTCACGACGACTCTGTGTAGTTTGTCAATGAAGGCTTTGACCCCTCTATCCGAAATTCCGCTAATTTCACCAATGTTGAAATCTTCTTCTCTGAGTATACGGCGTTTGATTCTTGGGACAACGTATGCATCTGGAAAGTTGGAGACTAAACAATATTCAAATTATAAAGTATTTTGGCTGAGATTGTCAACACAATGTAGTTCTTACCTTCAATAACAGGTACGACTTCGTTCCCGCTGGAAGCCGATTTGAAGGTCGCGTTTAGTGCCTCCATATCTTCTCTTGTGAATTTAGATGCCGAAGAGGGGAGATCCTTTATGCCATAGCTTGAACGGGAATTAGAGCTGGAACCAGAACTGATTCTAAGATTACCAGTGGCTCCCGCAAGCACTGATTCTTCTCTGGCAATGCGCTTAGGCTGTTGACGGGTGGCAGAAGAGCTCGCACCTTCGGTTTCGACGTTTTTTCGTTTCTTTGGAGAAGACATCGAGAACACAATACGACGAAAAAAGAAAGAAAAATTTTCACAAGACACGCATCACGAGGTGATAATCAGATTTGTAACAATCAGCAGGTCACGCAATCGATTTTTCAGGTAACAATCGGCAGGTCGTACGATTACATCACGCATGAAAAGTTCCATGACCTTCTAATTTATTCTGTGATATAACATGTGATATATGTTGATCGAACATCGGCATTTTTCCGAGACATTACGTCCTGCAAATTTTTGGCAAAAGTGATCGACGTGATAAATTGTCACACATACATCATTAGGTGAGACATAGTCTCAAATCTATGCTTCTACGAGAATATGAATCGAGATTTCGGCAGGACTTTTATCGAAATAATCGCTGATTTTTTTTTCAGGTTCCATATACACATATTCTCTACGTTCAATATCGACCGCACGAAGATTAAAAGAAACATTTCCATACTCGTTGAAGTAGTAATCCCAGATTTTAGTACGTAATGCGTTGACAGATTCATTCTTAGAAATAGAAATTCCATTCGGCGTACTTCGATACCCAAAAAATGCGCCAGTAGGAATGACAAGAAATGTGAGGTGGATATTATCTTTAACCATTTTCTGTCAAATATAGAGATCTCATTATTTAGAATTTCCCTAATGTTATTAAAGCAAGACGAGCAAATAAACGTACCTTTTTCTTTTGGATATGAGCAATAATGGAGCATGTAGTATAGTTCTAAGTATTTATATCACTAATTTAGAGTATCGTATGATACAATTTATCTAAAATTAACATATTCTTATTTTTGCGATTGGTTAGCGAACAGTTACGTATTACCTAGCTAAGCTACTTCCGTTCATTAAGAATGCAGATCAAAGGTGAGATTATTAAGTAATTGGGTTGGTTGGAAGATCGATTGATTATTTGAATTGGTCCACTATTCACATCATTCACGGAGGTTAATACCCACGTTTGGAATTATTATCGGAGATGGTGATATTAATACTAACGTCATATTTCATTGTGTTATTGTAGTAAAAATTGACGTAAAGCGTAGGGGTTGCCCATGACTCTTTGAGTCGTCCCTATAGGCAATAAAAAGTTCTGGCAATTTCTGGTCCTTTCCCGTCCAAGTCTATAAATAAATTCTGATCTGTGATTTTTTATATAAAAGGCGGAGAAAAAATATCTGTGACCTCTTTACTCCTTCGTTATAATAATTAACGATTTGGGGGAATAAAACATTTAACAAATTTTAATAAATCTTATCCACGATAAATAAAAAGATTCATACACTCGAAATAATATCTAATTAAGGTATGACACCTCACCCACATTCGTGTATATATGCTAATAGACCAATTTCCACTTATAGATGTCATCGCTTGCTGTTTCAGGAATCGCTCCATTTTTGGATTTCGCCGGCCTATTGATGTTCGTTGAGAAAATTTCCATTTACTTGCTCATTGGTGTCACATTTTATTTTTCACGTATCATCAAGCAAGACATCGACGTCAAGCATAATTCTGACCCTTCTGCACGTGATACCACATTCAATGAAATTCTTGCCAATCGTGATGCCAGGTTCTTAACCGAGCTCACCGATTACTGTGCCAAGTTTAACACTGAACTCACCTCACGCGACGAAAACTTTACAGCAGAGGTCCAAAGAATCTTGACAATGCTAAATACTTCTACTGTGAGATTTGATGAGATCGAACAAGTTCTTCAAAACTATCATAACAATTTTGGTAAAGTCGCAACTGAATTCGAATCAATCAATACTTTTATCGTAACTCTCCAAAGTGAAATAAATTAGTATTATGCGATAGTTCTAAGAACTGAAGAGATTGAATTTGATCAACAAAGCGTGATGAGTCAAATTCAAATAATTCCGTAAGTCAAGCTTCAAACCATTCCACAGGTCAAGCTTCAAATCATTCCTCTACAAGCTTGGGAAAATTAATGTTCACGGATATCAGTTTAACCGTTTGGATCGATTAAGCAAACTTTTGATCAGATCAAGACTGATAAAAAATTTAGTTTAGAGGAGATACGTCTTTTTGTAGTGTTACAGTAGTAATATAAAAATTGTTAATTTCAAAAATAATTGAAAAATACAAGATATTCAAAAATATTCATATAACAAGAACCCTTCTAAAAAAATTACTTTTCATCATTTTAATTATTTTTCATCATTTTCGATTTCTTTTCATCATTTTTTAATTACTTTTCATCAATTTTGATTACTTTTCATCATTTTTTTATTTACTTTTCATCATTTTTAATTACTTTTCATCATTTTCCGATTACATTTCATCATTTTTAATTACTTTTCATCATTTTCTGATTATATTTCATCATTTTTGATTACTTTTCATTATTTTTAATTACTTTTCATCACTTTTGATTATATTTCATAATTTTTTGATTACACTTCATCATTTTTGATTACTTTTCATCATTTTTCAATTTCATTTCATCATTTTTTGATTACTTTTCATCAATTGTTTTATTCTTTTACCAAAATAATTAGTTACTATATTTTGAAATTGTATTTTCGAAAAATGTATAAATAGAAGTGCTATCTGAGCCTTAACTCGACATGTTGTAACTGAAAATAAAAACCTCTCTTAACAAAAACCTTCTTTCAAATACTTTTCACCTCTCATATTTTCTTTATACACTTCAAATCTTGTGTATAAGTGATCTTATATCGTATTGAACCTATCAAATTACTGACAGCTTTATATCATATTGCGCTGAGCAAATCGCTGTTATTGACTTTGGGTTTTATATCGTATTGTGCCGAACAAATTGCTGTTATTGGATTATTGAGCTTTATATCGTATTGTGCTAAACAAATCGCTATATTGGAATTATTGAAATTGAATTTATAAGTATTTTACTTTTTGTTATTTGAATTTTTAATTGTTAACGGAATTCCT